GCCTGAAAGGAGGCTGGAGCCGGGGGGGTCGGTCTCTTCTCCCCAGGAACAAGCGATGGGACGAGAGGGAACGGCCTCAAGCTGCGCCAGGGCAGGTTTGGGTTGGGTATTGGGAAAAACTTCCCAGAGAGAGCGGTCAGGCCCGGGCCCAGGCTGCCCGGGGCAGGGGTGCAGTCACAGCCCCTGGAAGCGTTCACAAACCGTGTGGATGTGGTGCTGAGGGACGGGGTTTAGAGGTGGACCTGGCAGGTAGGGTAACGGTTGGACTCGGTGATCCCAGAGGTCCTCTCCAACCTTAACGATTCTGCGATTCTATGGAATGCTGACAGTCGTTTCTCTTTGTAGGCGATTGAAGGCACCTACATCGACAAGAAGTGTCCCTTCACTGGTAATGTCTCCATCCGTGGCCGAATCCTGTCAGGTGAGTTGTGAAGGTTTCTTAAGGAGTGACAGTATGGGCGTAATCCTGTGACTGCCCTGAAGCGGGTAAGCAGTGGAGGCCCATGAGCTGTCAGCATCGATTGGGGGCTGCCTGGAAACTCCGCTCTGGTCCTGGAGCTGCACATGATGCCATTCTCTCACGATGGTCTTCCAAGTCTCACGGTGAAGGGGCTTTGACGACAATGCCGCACGGCTTTGCTGATGCCCAGCCAAAGGACCAGTTGCTGGCAGTTACCCTTCCAGATGTGCTGCTCTGTGGTGCAGATGTTGATGTGATCCAGTAGCAGATAATGCAGGGAGCATTGGCTCCAGGGAAGGCGGCACAGTGCGCTTGGAAGTCTTCAAAAAGGCAAGAGCAATAATTTGTTTTAGACTAGAAATCGGCGTATTGCAGCCTGGCAGTAAGGAAGTTCTTTCATCCCAGTAGAACCAGGGTCCCAGCGCGCCCCTCAAAGGATGTGTTAGAGTTTATTATTGAGGTAAATAAGGAGAAATACTGGAATTGAAGGGTGCTGCCGCCAGGTGTCAAATACCACTCGTCCCCGCTGACCCTCTTGGGTAGCTCCTGTAAAAATCTCTGCTCCCTGTTAGTTACAACCAGATCTGCAGCCCAGTTTACCGCGGGCCGATGCGTGCGTGCTTATGCTCTTGGCTGTCACGTCCCCCCGCTTCTGTCGCCCAGGCGTGGTTACCAAGATGAAGATGCAGCGCACCATCGTCATCCGTCGGGACTACCTGCATTACATCCGCAAGTACAACCGCTTCGAAAAGCGCCACAAGAACATGTCGGTGCATCTCTCCCCCTGTTTCAGGTGCGTGCAAGCCCCCGCGGCGCCAGGGCGGAGTGCTGCCCCATGGGGAGGTGGTCCGTGGGCGTGCCGGGCGTGCTCCGAGCCTCTTGTACGTGTGTTTCTACGTAGTGTTTGTAACGCTGAACTCGGCTTTTGCGTGGCAACGGCAGCGCGCGTGCACGTCGGTGTGGTGCACGCGGTTTTATGGCTGCTTCTGACCTGGAACCTGCTTACCGGTGGTGATGTCTAAACTCACGATGGTCTTCAGAGCCCCTGCTGTGGAGGGGGCTGCTGACAACGCCGGTGGCAGTCGCTGAACCGTAGGACAGGTTCGGGTCAGTCTGCCTGTTCTGAAACCGCGCGCCGTTACAGCGATACAGTTCTCAAGAAAGGATAAAAACTTGGATGTTTCTGAAGTGAACGCCGAGGCCAGAGGGGGCAGGTTCAAGGGCTGGCAGGTTTTTTTGTCCACCACGTGCTTCCTAAGCCTGTCTTTGGGGCGCCGGTTTCCAGAAAAGCCGGGACTAGCAGTGCAACAAGTGCTTGGAGCCTGTGTGGGCTCATGGGGAGGGAAACTGCCCATCCCTGAAGGGTTCCCCTTCAATGCTCAGCCCTCAAAAAGCCTGCCTTTAGCCTGGTCTCGCGTTGGAGCTTCATGCGGAGTGACGGCCTCCAAGGCCTTGTGGCAGCTGCTTTTTAGGCACGCTCACTTTCGCAGCTCTTGAAATAAGGCCTTGCTTTACAACCTCGGGTACCTGAGGTCGCTTTCAGTGCCGTTCCTCGGCAGCATCGCACCAAGGTGAATGTCTGTGCTGCAGAGCAAAGCAAGTGTAAATGGAACCGCTCGGAACCGCTGAAATGCCAGTGGTGTCTTTGCAGGGATGTCCAGATCGGGGACATCGTCACCGTGGGTGAGTGTCGTCCCCTCAGCAAGACAGTCCGCTTCAACGTCCTCAAAGTCACAAAGGCTGCTGGTACCAAGAAGCAATTCCAGAAGTTTTAAGAACAGCATATGGAAGATATGCGGGACAAATAAAACTTTTCTAAAAACGTACCCTGTGTGTGTTAATCTGAAATAAATAGCATGGGGACGCAACAGCGCACGTGAACCCGCCCGACTGCGGAAACGGCCGAGGTGAGCGTGGCTCTGAGGGAAACGCGGGAGCGTTGTGAGGGATTAGTTCAGATAGTCCGGGTTTTCTGTTCAGAAATGACGAGCGCTTGGGCGAGGGACGAGGAGCGGGTGTTGTGCCTTTGTGGGTAAATCGGCAGCTCGGTGTTTCTCTGTGGAGCTGACACAACCTGGCCGTGCCGTCGGCGAGGCTTCCCTGCTCTGAGGGACAGCACAGCCAGCTCCCACGCGGCCTCGCCAAAGGAAAACCACCTCGCATCTCCTCCCAGGCCGTATCCCAGGATGGGCCGACCAAGGGTCAGGTGTGCGGGGAGTGGGGGCACAGGCGAAAAGCAAAGGGACGCGCTCTGACCGCTTTCGGGTGCTGTCCGGCGAGTTCCGGGGGCTCTCCGGCTCAGTGCCGGCTCCTGGCGCGCCGTACCACCCTCCCCGGCGCAGCCACGGGCAGTGACGGACCGGGGGTTGCGTAGTAATTTGGTTTGGAATAATGTAAATCCTCTTAGCGGTAACAAAGGCAGTTGTGACTTTAGAGATGGTTTCTCGGAAAGCTTAACTGTGTACTTCAAGAGGAAGGTGCCGTGTGGCGCGCTCACACACAAAGGTGTCCAAGCACACGCTTACAAGGCTGCGGTGCGTCAGCAGCTGAAGGGAACGGGAATCGATGCTAAGGACGCTGCTCTTCCTGCAGATTTGTTGAGAGGTGACAGTTGCTTGCAGTTCCAGCAGTCATAGGAAATGTTATTCTGGGAACTGAGTAAGCCCTTCTGTAGGAAGCTGATCCCGCATGCGGGGGGAAAAAACAGGAGGGAGCGAGGGCGTGACGCAGCACGGATGGCACCCGTGTGGCGGAGCAGCAGGAGGGGCCGTACGATGAGAACCAGAGGGGGAGCAATCAGAATCCGGTGGTTTAAACCCGTGTGGTTTGGCTGGCGGCACTACCTACACCCAGGGCAGAAAAAGCTGCATCGTGGTAAATTCTGTGTTAACAGGCATCACGCTTGCAAAAATTCAGTAGTGTTTGTGAGGGAGCTTTTGGTTCGTGCTGCCTCGTACCTCTGTGGCAGGGATGTCCCCTTGCACCCGGGAGGACCCAGGAGGAGTGCTCGCTCTGTGGCAGGCGGGAGACGTTGCCAATCTCTTGTCAGTCCCGTGGAGTGAAGACAGGACCCAGGCTTGCGGGGGTCTTTGTACCTAGATGTTTTTGGTGGCGCCCACCGATCAGAAAGCCTTTAAACTCTGGGTCAGCTTTCACTAGGATACGAGTGAATGTTGCCGATAGCAGCCGGGTCAGACGGCTTTTCCCTGTCTCGGCCAGGCTTCCCAGCAGCCCTCCCCTCCTTCCACGGGGCTCTGCGGGGGGTTCTGGTGTCCGTGGGGGGTTGCGGTGTCCATGTGGGGTTATGGTGCTGGAGGTTTCTCTGCCTAAATTCGCGAGCCTTTTGGGAGGCCGGGACCAGGGCTGGGGGAAGAGGAGGAGCAGGGGCTCCCCTGGTGGTGCAGGATCCCGGCAGAGCTCCGGAGCCAACATTCCCGCCTGAGCTGAGGGGTGTCGCGGCCTCGCTGGCGTGTCGGTGCTGGGGCAGCACGTGCGTCGGCTCCTTCGCTCTGCCACCTGGAGCTCAGCTGTGCCATCTGCCTGGAGCAGAGCGGGCGGGAGGCAGCAGGCTGTGCCAGAGCGGCGAAAAGGAGGTGGCCGGTGCTTTCCAGAAGCCACCGAGGCAAGGGCTGAAATGGGTCAGCCACGGAGCAAGTGGGGGGGCATGTCCCTGGGTGCCGAGGAGTCAGGCAAGAGCCGCATACGGGAGGGCAGCTGGAAAGGCGGTGGTCTCGGGGGGCTCTGGGGGGCAGGCGGGCTCACAGCATGGCTGCCCGGCAGAGCATTGGCCTGGCTTCGCCCCCGGCCCGGGCAGCTCCTTGGGAACGGCATCGTTGCGCTTCGTCTGTGCTGAGACGGCGCCGGGCGCTTCGCAGCAGGGGTCCCGCTGCCCTGCCCTCGGCTGAGGGATGCCTCGGTTGCTGCCTTCACACCAAGCAGATCTAGGTAAAATGCTAATTATTCACCAGTTCCAGGTACGGCAAGGCTACCTCTGGAAGGTCTGCATCCCGCTGGCGTGCTGTAGCAGCTTCCCCAGCGCGAGCGCTCCCTGGGGATCCGGTGTCCGCCGTGGCTCGGCTTGCAGGCTCTTGGCAAGAGCACGTCCGCTTCTGCCGCTGCAGGAGTGTGTAATCTCTCCCTGAGAAGCTCTTGGGGGACAGAGATCGGGCTGCTCCCAGCTCGCTCAGAAGCTACGGAAGCTGGAGGAGCAGCAAGACGAAGCAGCGTCCGGAGGCAGTTGTGTGAGCTGATCCGGTGGTGCGCCGCTGCCGAGCGGATGGGGTCTCGTTGCCCTTCCTCCCTCTCCTGCTCGGCAGGTTTTGCTCACTAACCAGGCAGAAAACAGGTGGCTTTTCTTCTCTCCAGGTCATTTTCTGCTGGTTTGATGAGTTGAACCATCCTGCAGAGCAGCGAGAAGGGAGGGAGGGGGCCCTGGCATGGAGCTGGGGTGGGGTGCGAGTGGCCTCACTGTTAAATCTGCTTCCCCCTTCATTAGAGAAGTGTCACCGTGTTCAAGGAGGAGGCAGCTTGGCCGCTCAGGCAGCAGCTCCCTGATCCAGCCAGGGATGAAACTTCTCCTCCCTCCTTTCGTGCAGCCATCGGTGGCTGCGAGGAGGCTCCGTCGCGACTGCTCATCCAGACAGGCACAATGAATATTTATGATGGTGTCTCGAAAGCAGCCCTGTGCTGCTGGTGAGGCCACGTCTGGGCACTGGGCGCTGCTGGGGTTCTCGGGCACAGGCAGCGAGAGGCTGGAGCAGAGCCGGGGCCCTTCCCACCCATGTCGGGGTGCGGTGACAGACCCCAGGGCAGTGGGGCGAGCAGCCGCCGCCCCGTTAGAGCCACCGAGAGATGACCTGGGTCAGTAGCAGCGAGCTGGTTTCGTTTTGATCCCACGTACGGACACAGAAAAATCTCATAGGCAGCTCAGTCAATGAAGCTCTAAAACTTGGTTACAGAAATTAATGCTTCATTCTGGTTTTAATGGAAAATAGATCCTGGCAATTAACTTCTGGAGGGAGTTTTATTTAGCAATTGCATAACATTCTCATGAAAAACGTGTCAGCAAATCCCAGCGTAAGTAGGTTACAAAGTGAATAGGTTTCCAAGTACATCTGTTAGTTGATTTAAAATATTAAACAGTTTTGAACTAAGGGTCTGTCCGATCCAAACAGAAGTCATCCTGCTGGGTGAAGATTACCAGGAATCTGAAATCACTGTTGATGAAAGTTGTGTGTTTTCCCCAGGCAGAGGACCGCTTGTCTGGCTGTCCCTGAAGCTGCTGCTGGGTTGTACCCGCAGTACGAGAGCGGTGCCGCCGGGGAAGTCGCAATCCTGCGGCTCTCGGCGTCCCCGGCTGCGTGAGCAGGGAAGGTCTGCGGCAGCGGCACGGGGCAGCTCTACGAGCGTGCACGGCAGGGCGAGGCATCGCTGGTGGCAATGCCCCACAAAGGGCTTTGAAAACCTGGTGCGGGTCCAGGGAAAGCCCGCAGAAGTGGGATGGACTGGAAATTGCCTTATAGTCAGAGGTGAGGAGGCAAACCGCTTAGCATAACACAAGGAGGCTGAAAATTGGCTTGATTCAGTCTTCGTATTCGTACACGGGGAGAGTATACCTGATGCTGCAGTCGTGTGCCTTCCCCTGGAGAAGTCAGAAAAGTCATTTATGGTTGTGAGAAACCAAAGGCGGGGGGGAAAGACTGAACAGCTTCCCTCAGGGGCAGCCTCTTGCTGCTCAAGCTATTTTAGCTCGACTTCCAGTCCACAATCCAAGACTCGGTCTGGCTCGGCCCCGGGTCCCGGCTCTGGGCACAAGACCCACAAGCTGCTCCTGGTGTCTGCCCCCCGCCCCGGCCACAGAGCGTGACGGCACGGGAATTGCTGAAAATGGCCGCGGGGGGATCCTTCCCCAGCAGCTGGAGGATCGTGACTTTTCTTTTACCCCCATATTCTATGATTCAATATGATCACAGCAAACGTGCTCGTGGTTTTCAAACCCACAGGCATCAGCACGCCGGCTCACATCTTCAAGGCAGCATCCCTTAGGGAGACTGAACTGGTACTTAATAAAACCAAGCAGATGTTACGACTGCAAATATAAGAGCGAGGTGTTGCACCCCCGTGGAGACAACTGGAGAGACGTCTTGGAGCCCGCTGTCAGGCGTTCGGCCATCTCTCATCTCTGCAAGGGATTCCAGGTGCACCTTCAAATCCAGCGGCCAGGCACCAAGCCAGGGCTTGGTTCCTGCCCAGACCTCGCAACCGGATCCGCCCGGGAGACGGGCAGCTTGTGCTCTGCCCTCCGCTTCGCCCTGGCGCGGCTGTCCTGCCTGACCCCCGCCGCCCCGCAGAGGGACGCCGTGAGCGGCGGCCACCAGCCCCCACTCACCAAGTCAAACAGCCGCCGCACTCGTTCCCCCCCGTCACGCACATGGGGAACATTTTTCACCAGTGAGCCGGGGCTCTACACCACTCTGCGTCGTTACGTGTCCCTAAATCCTTTCTATCTTCTCAAAAACAGCTTTGAGATATTTGCAAATAATAACCTGTCTTCCCGCAGCCGGCAAGGACACCAGCGCTCGGTCTGACAGCTCACACACGCAGCATGGAAAAAACACGCCTCCGCCTCGGACCAGGAGGGTTTTTATAAAGCCTTTGTGCAAAATTTCTGCCGAGGTTCCCCGTTTGATGGAGGCACATCTGCTGCCTGCCGGCGTGAGCCTGAGCGGGGGCTGTGAGAGCGCTTTGCCTTGGCATTTCAGAAAGGGGGGGGGGGGGGGACAACAATATATATTTT